GAAGTTTTTGGAACTATTGACACATGCATGTAAAGATCTATAGTCCTGGAGAAGAAGATGTAGAAATATTTTACAAATCGGAAAGGTTATTTTTCTATTAATGTACAGACTACATCTTCAGCAGATTTAAAAATAACTAACATAATTTAAAGATGACCCGGATCGTCAACATCTCTTCTTTTCTGTCAACATATTCAATTTCGATCTCCGCTTATTCGGTTTACACATCAAAATTAGCCAGTGCTACCAATAAAATTCAAAAAATTGTCAAAATCAAATTTTTATCTAGGTATTTCTTAGTAAGAGATTTCTTATGTTGGTGAAATTCGATTTAGGTAAGTATTCGATTTAAGTATGTAATTCCTACCTTAGGAATTACCTAGTTAGGAAATACCTAACAACATGTTGGTGAAATCGGGCATTACATGTTCAATTAAACATCTCTTTAGCTAAACGTTTTGTAACTTTTTGAGGTACAATTTATTTTTATTATTCTGTTTTCAGTGGAATATTGGTAGCCACCGTACATTCTTCGAATCCTCAAAGCTTCATCACAGACATTCGCATTCCGAGAACAAGTGTTTTTGACAACCCAATTAGCTGCATCAAAGTAAGTGCAACTATTATTGATATACACTGTGTTATTTGTAAGATGTGACATAGGGATTCCTGTACAAAAGTGTCAAAAGCAAGCTAACTTTTTTACCAAATAACGTTCGTAAAAAATAATGACAGATTTGAAAAGATCGTCAAAAAATAAGTCGAAATGGACATTAAATTTTATTAAATTCGTTCTGGTTTAATAAAAAAATGTATAATTAAGTTAAAAAAAGTCATATGTCATATGTCACTATCTAATAATTGTAAAAAGGGGGCGGAGATATCTGGAATGGTTTACGCTCTGAAGTTTGAAAAAATCAGCGGTAAGGAATCTGGTTCAATCCCACGCAGTGCTTAAATTTATTTTGCTTTTTTTCTTTGGCATTTTTTGTTTTTTTAATGTTTTTTTTTTTTCTCAAGAATAAAAAATATGGCATCATTTTAAAGGCTCTACCAACTAACGAGATTTTGCGTTATTAAAATTGACACTTAATTGTCGGAGCTTTTATTTAAATAAAAATAAAATTATATCTCAAATAAGCTCGCCTTATTTTAAATATTTCTATTTAACATTTTTTATACAAAAATATTAGAAAAAAACCGAAAAAAAAAAGAAAAAAATGTCTCTACTGCGCGGGGATTGAACCACATTATTTCCCGCTAAAACTTTTAAATTTCAGAGCGTAAACCATCCCGGCTAACTCAGCCCATTTTAATTATTAGATAGTGACATAAAAATGACACATTTATGACGTTTGACTTTTTTCAACTTAATTATACATTTTTTAATTAAACCAGAACGAATTTAATAAAATTCAATGTCCATTTCGACTTATTTTTTGACCATCCTTTCAAATCTGTTATTATTTTTTAAGAACGTTATTTGGTAAAAAATTTAGCTTGCTTTTGACACATTTGCACAGGAATCCCTATATGTTGCATCTTATAAATAACACAGTGTATAAGTTCCTTAAAGCTGTATTAATTTTGATAGGTTTCAATAAGGTACAGTTTTAGAAACGATATTACAATATTTCCTTAGTATTTTCTAAAAAAATATACCACTGCAAAATATTGTATATCCAATTGAACAATTTCCATTTATACTTTTATAGGTATTTTTTCAAGGTGGTAATTATTGTAAGAGTATTTTATTTTTTAGGTAATTGACAATAAGGATAACAGCTTCACCGATGCTGTTCCCATAGAAGGAGGTCTTAACCAGAACTTTGTCAAATTTAGAATTTATTTCCTCAACGGTTGGTTGGACAACCTTCCGTTATCGGTAGGATTCGACTACACTTTCAAAATCTACACTAAACCTCCTAAATAAGGTTTAGAAATGGTGTAAAATATTATATTTATAAAAAGACGAATAATACAAAATATACAGAGTATTTTAATATATTTTCACTTTTGTTAAATGCTTATACCTATCAAATAATTTTTGATATACCTTAATTAACTTAATAAACTATGTTTATACTGCCGATATTTTAATTATTGTTTGAAGTATCTTGAAAAACTTGAAATCTTGGAAAGCATCATCAACAGAATTAGCATCTAAGAACATTATCTTGACTTTATAAAAAGCTATAAATTGTGTAAATTTAAAGATTAAAATTGAAGTGTTCTTAGAAGTTCTTTCTTGTAAAATTCCATATCTCAAAAACGTTTAGAGATTTTATACACGCGAATTTGATTTTATTGTTTGAACTATGTATTGTGCCTTGAAAAGTGTACTTATATTCATTTTACATTTCTTATCTGTATTGATTTCAAGGAAATACGCACTCAAGTCTCACAATTTAGGTACATTACAATTTTAATCCTTCAAAAATCAATAAAATCCTTTCATATGTTCATGTAGATACTCCGTTAAAAATTGCCCAAGACAAAACAGCCTCGACAAAATAGCCTCGAAAAATAGCCCTTTGGGCTTTTTTGTTTTAGGCGACATTGTTTTGGGGATATTTTTTTAGTCGCGGTTCAGGTAATATGTTAATATACAGTGTGTCCACAAATGGGGTTGCCTATAAGAGAAAAATTTTTATATTCATTTTACGACAAAAAGTCAATGTTTATAAGAATTTTTGCTTCTTTTAAAAATGAGAAAAACACTGAAAAATCTTAGATTGGATCTACAGAGTGTTGTCAAATTAAGAAAACATGAAAATACCTCAAGAGGGAAGTACCATTATTTTTTATTTTACACAAAATTTTTATGAAAGAAAGTTGTTTATAATCTAAAATAAAGCCTGAATACAAATTTTCAAATTAAAATTCCAATTTTGTGTGTCCACGGATGAAGTTTTGAATTTTCTCATGTAGAAAGTAAAAATTGATTAATCAATGATTAATTATAAAATGAATTGAAATCATTTTAATTTTATTAAGTGCGGATCTGTAATTGTAATTTTTATTGGTTTATGTGAATGTTAATTCAAGTTCAATAGGTCTATTTCAGGAATTTTCATGAAAGTGTTAAGTAAATCTGGTTTTATTAAAGAAAAAATAATTAAAATCCCTTCAATTACATTTTACATGGACCAAAAATCTCATAATGTACATTTTAACGTGAAATCAACTTCTCTCTCTTTGAGAAATCTCAAAAAAAATGTAATAAAAGTCATACAGAAATAAAATTATAAACCCGAGTTTCAATAAAAAATTGAAAAATAAATACTGCTTTTTGCGTTCATAATTTTGCCTTAATACTTTACTGTAGCAAATGTTGCACCAAAACAATGGTTAAAACAAAAAAAACAAGCACCCAAGCTTGCATTGCAGTAAATGGGAACAATTTTGAACATCTTGTATAAGTAATTGAACTGTTAAACTATTATTTTATTATCTCGATTTCTGTAAGACTTTTATTACGTTTTTTTTGTGTAATTAACTTCTCTCGTAACAGTGCATATGTGGTTAAAATTTGTCGGATAAGTTGTGAAACACCCTGTATAATCGTACTAAAGGGAAAGTGTTTTTTTGAAGAATCAGTTTTCTGTAGTTAGGGCAAGTAAGGAGTAGAGATTTTGCGAAATTTTTGGAGGAAATATGCAATGAAACGTTTTTTTATATAATGAAATAGATACTAATCTTTTATCCCAATTATTGGGTGGATTATAGTTAAAAAAGTGTTCAAAGAGAGATGATTATATATGAAACTTTTTTCTATAAAATAAAGTAAATATGAAGTTTCTATAATCACTTTTATTTTTATAATGAACTATACTGCTCCACAAAAGTTAAGGAAGTTCACAAATATTGAGATTAATTTAAAAGTTACAGGTTTTTTGATTGCCAAATTTAGTTTGAGTTGTAAAGGTAGGGGCAAAATATCCACTCAGATATGAGAGAAAACATTTAATTTCGCATATTTGAAAATTTGGTGATCAAAAAGTCTGTAACTTTTAAAATAATCGCAAAATTTGCGAACTTTTGTGGAGCAATTTATTATGATTTCAATATAATGTGAAAGAATCAAACTAATCCGAAACCTACTTAATACTAACTTGAAGAGTTATAAAAGATTCTAGTCCTTTAGAATACTGCAAAACTAGTCCTTTACAACACACTATAAAAATACAACTCATCTACAACTCGTGTATCAAATTTCTTCTCGTGAACAATACCAGTAAATATAAGACCAGTGTTGTTAAGTAATTATTTGCAAGTAATTGAAAAAGTAATTGAATTACTTTTATTGTAATTGAGGCGGTAATTAATTATAAGATCTTCAATTGTAATTCATTTGTAATTCAATTACTCCTTTCGTTACAATTACAATTACATTTTACAATTACATTTTACAATTACATTTTACAATTACATTTCAATTACATTGGTCACAAAAGTACTTATTTAATATTTTCAATGCGTGGAAAGTTTAATTCCGATTGCAAATCCCTAAATAATTATTTAAAACTGACACCAAAGCAAAGTAATTGTGATTTCTGTAAGACTTTTATTACATTTTTTTTGGGAAATTAACTTCTCTCGTAACAGTGCATATGTGGTTAAAATTTGTCGGATAAGTTGTGAAACACCCTGTATTTTACACGTACCTATACTTTAATTTATACTGCAGATACATTTTATTTGCTATTTCCTAACCCAGAGGCGTGAAAAACTTATTTAACACCCTTTAATATCACCGAATTTATCATAACTCGTAAATAGTAAAGTCATCTTAAAAACACAATTTACCATATTTTCCACTCGAGTTATTTTAAGACACCTCTACAGACTTTAACCAGTCGTATTTTAATTGCCTTAATCGGCACTCACAATGTCTCAAAGGTAAAGTAAGAAAAAGGTACAGATAATAATTCAAATAAGTTTACTATATTGTATATAAAGTGGATTTTCATCATCGGGCAGCATTGTTTACTCAATTTTTAATCAAAATGTTCAAGGTAGCAGCTCTGTGCTTATTCAGTTTTATCTGTGCTGTTCAAGGCAAGGCCTTGCAGGGTCAATACGATAATTCCTACACCTTGTGCCCGGAACCCGATAATCCGTAAGTTTTTATTTTTATTTTTCTTCTAGTTCACTTGTTATTTACATCGATACATTTATGCCCGATTTCACCAACCAGTTCCTAAAGTTAGGTAATACCTAAACCGAATTTAGGAATTCCTAAGTACAATTTGCGTTTCACCATGCACTAAGTAATACCTAAAGGTAATAGGAAATGCCTAAAGTTAGGACAGCTCACTGAGCTTGCCTAAATCATTTAGGAAATACTTAACCATACTTTCCATGTGATTTCATGTGACTTAAGTCTTGACTGTCTTTAGACTCTTTAGATGAAAATTTAAAATGGGAGAAGAGTTTTTAGAAACTGGACGAAACTGATTTTTTTTTTCGCCTTTTTCGATATATAAAAATACGGCATTACAAATATTAGAATGAATTGAAGATGATTTTTAATTTGATACACAGGAAGTTTTTGGAACTATTGACCGTACACATGCATGTAAAGATCCATTGTCCTGGAGAAGATGTAGAAATATTTTACAAATCGGAACGGTTATTTTTCTAATAATGTAAAGACTACATCTTCAGCAGATTTAAAAATAACTAACATAATTTAAAGATGGCCCGGATCGTCAACATCTCTTCTTTTCTGTCAACATATTCAATTTCGATCTCCGCTTATTCGGTTTACACATCAAAATTAGCCAATGCTATCAATAAAATTCAATAAATTGTCGAAATCAAATTTTTACCTAAGGTATTTCTTAGTAAGGGATTTCTAATGTTGGTGAAATTCGATTTAGGTAAGTATTCGATTTAAGTAATTCCTACCTTAGGAATTACCTAGTTAGGAAATACCTAACAACATGTTGGTGAAATCGGGCATTACATGTTCAATTAAACATCTCTTTAGCTAAACGTTTTGTAACTTTTTGAGGTACAATTTATTTTTATTATTCTGTTTTCAGTGGAATATTGGTAGCCACCGTACATTCTTCGAATCCTCAAAGCTTCATCACAGACATTCGCATTCCGAGAACAAGTGTTTTTGACAACCCAATTAGCTGCATCAAAGTAAGTGCAACTATTATTGATATACACTGTGTTATTTATAAGATGCGACATAGGGATTCCTGTACAAAAGTGTCAAAAGCAAGCTAACTTTTTTACCAAATAACGTTCGTAAAAAATAATGACAGATTTGAAAAGATCGTCAAAAAATAAGTCGAAATGGACATTAAATTTTATTAAATTCGTTCTGGTTTAATAAAAAAATGTATAATTAAGTTGAAAAAAGTCATATGTCATATGTCACTATCTAATAATTGTTAAAAGGGGCGGAGATATCTGGAATGGTTTACGCTCTGAAGGTTGAAAAAATCAACGGTAATGAATTTGGTTCAATCCCACGCAGTGCTGAATTTTTTTTCTTTTTTCTTTGGCATTTTTTGTTTTTTTAATGTTTTTTCTCTCGAGAATAAAAATATGGCATCATTTTAAAGGCTCTACCTACTAACGAGATTTTGCGTTATTAAAATTGACACTTAATTGTCGGAGCTTTTATTTAAATAAAAATAAAATTATATCTCAAATAAGCTCGCCTTATTTTAAATATTTCTATTTAACATTTTTTAGAAATGTTAAAAAAAGAAAAAAATGTCTTCACTGCGCGGGGATTGAACCACATTACTTCCCTCTAAAATTTTTAATTTCAGAGCGTAAACCAATCCAGACATCTCCGCCCATTTTACAATTATTAGATAGTGACATAAAAATGACACATTTATGACGTTTGACTTTTTTCAACTTAATTATACATTTTTTAATTAAACCAGAACGAATTTAATAAAATTTAATGTCCATTTCGACTTATTTTTTGACCATCCTTTCAAATCTGTTATTATTTTTTAAGAACGTTATTTGGTAAAAAATTTAGCTTGCTTTTGACACATTTGCACAGGAATCCCTATATGTTGCATCTTATAAATAACACAGTGTATAAGTTCCTTAAAGCTGTATTAATTTTGATAGGTTTCAATAAGGTACAGTTTTAGAAACGATATTGCAATATTTCCTTAGTATGTTCTAAAAAAATATACCACTGCAAAATATTGTATATCCAATTGGACAATTTCCATTTATACTTTTATAGGTATTTTTTCAAGGTGGTAATTATTGTAAGAGTATTTTATTTTTTTAGGTAATTGACAATAAGGATAACAGCTTCACCGATGCTGGTCCCATAGAAGGAGGTCTTAACCAGAACTTTATCAAATTTAGAATTTATTTCCTCAACGGTTGGTTGGACAACCTTCCGTTATCGGTAGGATTCGACTACACTTTCAAAATCTACACTAAACCTCCTAAATAAGGTTTAGAAAAGGTGTAAAATATTATATTTATAAAAAGACGAATAACACAAAATATACAGAGTATTTTAATATATTTTCACTTTTGTTAAATGCTTATACCTATTAAATAATTTTTGATATACCTTAACTTAATAAACTACATATGTACAGGGTGATCCAGGGTCGCGTTAAAGTCCCATAACTTTTTACCTAATTGAGATATCGACTTGATTTTTTTTTCAAAAGGTAGGTACAATAATACTGCGTATTATTAAAATAGTTTCGTCTATATACAGGGTGGCTCAGTATTAGAAATTCACTAAAGTTACCTTTTTTTTAATGGAACCCCCTATATATTATAACATTTTTGAATTCTTTAGTGAATTTTAGTTTGACTGTATGTACCATACATTGTGCCTAAAACCAATCGTTTAGTGGTAATTCGACATTTTCGAAAAAAAGTAGAGGTTTGAAAAAAAATGAATATTGCCGCTTTTGTAAAACTTAGAAGGTCGTGACTCTGGGTTATTAGTAAACATGAAATGTACTACTGTGTGACATGGATTCATAATTGAATACTGTTTGTGTTCTTAGATATCGATAAGCAAATTTACAAAATTTCAATTAAAGGTAACTTGATTTTTTTAAATGAAACTACCTACTTTTTTGTACACCATTTTGTAGGAAATTTTATTGCCTTTCTAACGATATAACATTGTCAATATTTTTACCTGCTAGTTTTCTTTTAATTCCGGAATTTCTTATAATTCCCGGTAATTTTTAATTTTCAATAGTACTGTTCAAACTGGCTCAATATTGTAAATTAAATTAAAATAAAACAAAAATTTTATAAAAGATAGTGAATTATAAAAAAAGTATACAGATCAATCAATCAACTAGAATTTATTTGATTATAGGGAGATAGTGATAATGTACAAGGAAAAATTATTGGTATAATGGTAAAGAACAGTTTTTTTGATAGAACAATAGTTTTTCTTACAGTAGATGCTCAAAGATATTGCCATTATATTCGATGCATACGTCCAGTCCAGTCTTCTTAAAAACGAATTTTTGACGCGCGTTAGCATGTTTTGATCAATTGATCGAAAAGCGTCTCTTATCCGGATCTTCATGTCGTTAGCTGTTGTTGGCCTGCCCGTTCCCGCGATTTGACACCAATTGATTTTTTCCTATGGGGATTTATTAAGGACAATGTCTATAGTGTTAGGCCGTGAAAATTACCGGGAATTATAAGAAATTCCGGAATTAAAAGAAAACTAGCGGGTAAAAATATTGACAATGTTATATCGTTAGAAAGGCAATAAAATTTCCTACAAAATGGCGTACAAAAAAGTAGGTAGTTTCATTTAAAAAAATCAAGTTACCTTTAATTGAAATTTTGTAAATTTGCTTATCGATATCTAAGAACACAAACAGTATTCAATTCTGAATCCATGTCACACAGTAGTACATTTCATGTTTACTAATAACCCAGAGTCACGCCCTTCTAAGTTTTACAAAAGCGACAATATTCATTTTTTTTCAAACCTCTACTTTTTTCTAAAATGTCGAATTACCACTAAACGATTGGTTTTAGGTACAATGTATGGTACATAAAGTCACACTAAAATTCACTAAAGAATTCAAAAATGTTATAATATATAGGGGGTTCCATTAAAAAAAAGGTAACTTTAGTGAATTTCTAATACTGAGCCACCCTGTATATAGACGAAACTATTTTAATAATATGCAGTATTATTGTACCTACCTTTTGACAAAAAAAAAATCAAGTCGATATCTCAATTAGGTAAAAAGTTATGGGACTTTAACGCGACCCTGGGTCACCCTGTATGTTTATACTGCCGATATTTTAATTATTGTTTGAAGCATCTTGAAAAACTTGAAATCTTGGAAAGCGTCATCAACAGAATTAGCATCTAAGAACATTATCTTGACTTTGTAAAAAGCTATAAATTATGCAAATTTAAAGATTAAAATTGAAGTGTTCTTAGAAGTCCTTTCTTGTAAAATTCCATATCTCAAAAACGTTTACACGCGAATTTGATTTTATTGTTTGAACTATGTATTGTGCCTTGAAAAGTGTACTTATATTCATTTTACATTTCTTATCTGTATTGATTTCAAGGAAATACGCACTTAAGTCTCACAATTTAGGTACATTACAATTTTAATCCGTCAAAAATTGCCCAAGACAAAACAGCCTCGAAAAAATAGCCCTTTGGGCTATTTTGTTTTAGGTCAATTTAGGACTATTTTTTTAGTCATGCACGGTTCAGGTAATATGGTAATATGTTAATATTATACAGGGCTTTTCACGGTATCCGTCTATTAGAAGTATCTCAATAATGAAAAGACTTAAAAATCTGAAATTTTGGTTATAGTATTTTTTGGATAATTTGAATTGATCTAAATTATTTTCATTTCGATTACACGTCCGGTTATACTGGAAGTTGACACCAACTTCGTTATTTTAAAACTGAAAATACAGTTTAGTTTCATTTAGTAGTATGTCTGGACATCATCGATACTCAATTTGAAGCTTCTAGCTGCATTATTAACAGAGATATCACAGAAAATACATTCGACTGTTTTTCCAAAAAATATCAAAAAAATTGTAATATCTTAAAAATGGTACATTTTTGGCATATGGTGTTATTATCAAAGTCTAGTTAAAAAAGGCCATAGAATTCAAAAATGAAGTTAAAAATGGCACTTTACATATAAAATAACGAAGTTGGTGTCAACTTCCGGTATAACCGGATGTGTAATCAAAATTAAAATATTTTAGATCAATTCAAATTATCCAAAAAATACTATAACCAAAATTTCAGATTTTTAAGTCTTTTCATTATTGAGATACTTCTAATGGACGGTTACCGTGAAAAGCCCTGTAGAATTTGTTCAGGCTGCAAATGAATACAAAGTATTTAATCTCTTAACTAATTTTCAATTTTACAACTTTCAATTATTGAAAATTAAACAAACAATACTTGAATGAGTGGATTAAAAACAAATTTTTACAATGCTAACAAAACAAGGTCCCATAGAACAAATGATTTTTACTAATCTTACATGACTTTTCGATTAAAATTCTCCAACATAATAAATATTTAACAAGCATCCGCTGAATATTTACTATTTTGTAAATTTATGTTTACCTATAGTTGCATATATTTACGCATTACTTTTTTTAGTTAATTATTAGTAATTCGCATATAAAAAGAAACCAGCTCGGTTTCAAAATGAAGTATATCTAATAAAATGTCGAATAGCACTCGCCTTCGAGGACGAATTGCCTTAATTACTGGTTCCACCAGTGGAATCGGATTCGCTATAGCCGAAAGGCTAGCAGAAGACGGTGCTAGAATTATAATATCGAGCAGAAAACAAGAAAACGTCGATGGAGCCCTAAAGAAATTAGCGGAAAAAGGACACGATGTCTGTGGGGTAGCTTGTAACATTAGCAATGTGGATGATAGGAAGAAGTTAGTTCTGCAAGTGGAGAGAATTGGAGGTAATTTTATTCCATTTAGTATGATTGCCTAATAAATGGTGTTTCAATAAGAGCGCAAGATTTTAAGGTTCAATAAAACAATGTTATCTGCAGCAAAATATGGAAATATTTATTAATTTATCATGTGTACATTTAGGAATTATACAGTGTGTCCACGGATGGGGTTGCCTATAGGAGAAAAATGTTTATTATTCATTTTACGACAAAAAGTCATTCTTTATACAAATTTTTGCTTCTTTTAAAAATGAGAATAACACTGAAAAATCTTAGATTGGGTCTACAGGGTGTTGGCAAATTAAGAAAATATGAAAATACCTCAAGGGAGGAGTACCATTATTTTTTATTTTACACAAAATTTTTATAGAATAAAGTTGTTTATAATCTAAAATAAAGCCTGAATTCAAAATTTTAAATGTGTAAGATAATAAAAATTCTTTCGTTCTTTCTTGAAATTTTTTCCTGTTTCTTAATTTACTAACACCCTATACATCTTATCTAATGATTTGATATGTGAATCTCATTTTCTCGACAAGTTAATTTTTTTATAAAGAATGGCTTTTCATGTCGTTTCAAGGTCAACTTTATCTGTGGACACAAAAAATTTGAATTTAAGTTTACAAATTTGTATTCAGGCTTTATTTTAGATTATAAACAACTTTCTTTTATAAAAATTTTGTGTACAATAAAAAATAATGGTACTTCTCTCCTGAGATATTTTCATGTTTTCTTAATTTGGCAACACCCTGTAGACCCAATCTAAGATTTTTCAGTGTTATTCTCATTTTTAAAAGAAGCACAAATTTTTATAAAGAATGACTTTTTGTCGTAAAATGAATAATAAAAATTTTTCTCCTATAGGCAACCCCATCCGTGGACACACTGTATATGAAACAAAATATCTTGTAAATGGCCGCCACGGCTTTGCTGGCACAAGCGTTCTCTTTTGATAACATTTTCAAAAGCATTATTGTATACATGTGGCGGTATTTTATTGATACAGCGTCTAATTTCGGCCTTTAACGCTTCGGTGGTCCCGGGCATGTTGGCATAAACCTGTGACTAAAAGTAACCACGCAGCCAGAAGTCCAAAGGTGTTAAATCACAAAAACGTGGTGGCCAATTCTGGTCACCAAACCGGGAAATGACCTGACCGGGAGTAATGTTTAACAATTAAGACGCGATTATGTTCCTTATCCAGATCCATATCCAGACCCAATGATCCATATTTACTAACTCCCAACTGTCAACTTTCGATCTGTCATGTTATAATCACGTGTCATTATGACTGTCAAACATGACGGGCAATTCAAATCTTGCGGTCTTATTGAAACACCCTATACTAATGATTTTTGTTAAATAATCGGTTTCGCTTCAAAAAAGCTTATTTTGGTTTCCCAAAAATAAGATTCTGGAATTTTATCCTTTTTTCAATCACCCATTCTATGCTATCTATGAATAGGAAACGTTAGTGGCTTTATAGTAGGATGTTATAGATGTTAATGGACACTACCTAGTTGTTGTAGTGTGTTTTAAAATAATTTTAAAGAGGCGACTAAACACCTTGCTCCATTTCCGATTACAACATGGTCATTTCTATGAGAGGAACAAAGAAAGATTATTAAAATGACAGTTGTCAGAGTGAAAAGTTTGTAATGACATAATGTCACTCTTTCCTTTTCCTTTATAAGTGTCTAATGGAAGTTGTCTTTATCGCACCCATGGCCTATATGTATAATGATGCAATCAAAAATGGAGGAACCTGTATGTACAATTTAAGGCTGATATTCTTGAAAGCAAAATGTAGTTCCTGGTGCATAAGGACGATATAAGGACGAAAATGTAGAAACATTATAATGTTTACGTGTCGAAATCTAAAAAAAAGGCGGTTTAATTGCGGTATTTTAGAACTTTGCTCGCAATTAAAATAATTAGCAGTTTTAAATTGATTTCAAAATGAAAAATGAGGTGAATATTATTGATGGTAATTAAAATTAATGGTAATTAAAAAATATTAACATATTTTAACAGCTAATAGAGGGATCTTTATAGGTAAATTATTCGAGAGCAATTCTTTGAATAATCAATCATCGAATATATAGTTTATCGAAACAACATTTTTCGAATGATCAATTTTTGCTGCTACTATACAGGGTGGTCCTCTAAGAGTGGCTCTCGGCCATATCTCGCAAACTAATTGTCGTAGAGACTTGCGGTAAAAAATCTTATGACTAAATTGGCCAAAAGAAAATGCTGGAAATAATTTTTAGGTCTCTAAAATGGCCGCTAGGGGGAGTATCCGCCATTTTGATTTTTAAAAGTCATTTTTTTCAAAATGTTCCTAAATAAAGGTATCAAAAATGTGTTTTATTTTGATAGTTAAGATAATTTCGATTATTTTTTGTTATATATTTTTGACTCTATCTTTTAAAATAAAGTGGTGGGGGTAGTTTGAATTTTTTGACAAAAAAATCTTAATAACTTTCAAACGGCTGAACCGATTTTCAAAAAAATGAAATTGTTGAAAAGGGCTTTCTTTGGTCTAAAATTTACACTATATAAGATATTATTCTAATTGCTTGCTTGGCCGCAAGATGGCGTTTTTCGACATTACTTCAAAAAACACGAATTTCTCAAAAAATTTAAATGCAACAATATAACTTTTTCTTTGGAGAAAAAAGGCAAGTAATTGCCAAACAAGTTTGTGAAAACCGCATATCGATATCCCCTTCCTAACCTAAAATATATGTAAAAAAAGAAAAAAATCATGAAAATGGGTAATTTTTGGTGCACTACCAATATAAAAGCCTCTAATTAGCGTTTTTCCATCCACACAACTAATCAATTTACTAATAATCTTCAAGTATGATATTTAGAAACACCAAGCTAAGTAATATTCATTCAATAATTATTGGATTTCCCTTCTATTCGCACTAGTTGAGAACAAAAGAAATATTCATGCCGTGGAAAATAAAAAAGAGATTTTTTTAGAGACCTAAAAATTATTTCCAGCATTTTCTTTTGGCCGATTTAGTCATAAGATTTTTTACCGCAAGTCTCTACGACAATTAGTTTGCGAGATATGGCAGAGAGCCGTTCTTAGAGGACCACCCTGTACCTAATTCGCCGAATCAATGCTCATTCATACTCTTATGCTATTCCCTACTATCTCACTAAACCATCTTTAAAATCTATTATCTTACTTCTATCTGCACTATCTTTACTCTTTGGTTTTTTTTGTGTAGGTTTGGACATTTTCGTTCAATGCGCAGGAGCGAATCTTTTCAACGGACACATTTTGGACTGTCCCGAAGACAGATGGGACAAAACAATGGACATTAACTTGAAATCCACTTGGTTGCTAACGAAAGATCTTCTTCCGTTTTTAAAAAACAGCAAGTGCGGAAGAGTCATTTATAATTCCTCTGCAAGTGTGCACGCGCCACTTGAGGTAAGGTGTTTCTAACTCAGATAACTTTTTTGTAATATTATCCGAATACACCTTGCTCCATTTCCGATTGCAACATGGTCATTTTTATGAGTGGAACAAAGAAAGATTATTAAAATGACAGTTGTCAGAGTGAAAAGTTGCAATGACACAAATGTCACTATTTCCTTTTACTTTGTAAGTGTCTAATGGAAGTTGTCTTTATCGCACCCATGGCCTATATAACCTATGTTGCGATCAAAAATGGAGCAACCTGGGGCCTGTTTCATATAACTGACAAGTTGACAAGTTACAAGTCGACAAGTTGGTTGACAAGTATTTAAAAATTTCGTTTCATAAAATAAATTTCGAAACTTGTCGAATTAAATTTTTGGCATCCGTTTTTCTACAACTGTAATTTTAATTAAACGTCAGACTTAAGCCAAAAAGAAAAAAATTGTACTTACTATACTGAGGAGCATAAGTATAGCACAACCTTCGTTTTTCGATATTGGGAGACTTTTACTTTGAAATTGTTTTTTTTTTCTGATTGGAGCTATTTTTAGATGTGAACCACGACAATTTCGTTTATTGACAAACAACTTATTTCTAAAATACAGCAACATTTATTTAATATTCAATTATTTTAATAAAGAAAGCATTCTATTTGGAAAAGCATTCTATTTGGAAAATTTAGTCCCACTTCTACAAAAGCTATAAAATGTGAGCATTGAAACGAACAAAGACAATGCATAATTTCTATAAGTTGGTTCTATACATTAGGCGGGGACCAATAGATTTTATTATTTCCTCCATTTTTATCGAATTTATTCGAAATCGTTTAATAAACTCTCATTAAGCTTTTTCCTCACTCTCGCTAGACCACATTTTCTTTTAAATTTACAAGAAAATTGGATGGTGACAGGAAATCAAAACCCTATCGCTTTACACGAATATATGATAGGAATAAATGACAAGTGTTGTTTAATTTATTTTTTATGAAACGCAAACCTATCTACAATTGTAAAACAGACTTGTAATATTAGGCTAGTCACTTGTCACTAATAATCTACTCGTGTAATTTTATGAAACACAAACTTGTCAAATACTCCAATCAAATTTAGACTACACTTGTCCGACAGGACTTGTCAGTTATATGAAATAGGCCCCTGTATGTATGTTCTTGAATTTTTCCTAAAGATTTTAGGCGTGTACCCGGTTAGTAAAGCGGCGTTACATTTGTTAACGAAAACGGTTGCACTTCAGCTAGGTCGGTTGAATATTACAGTAAATTGTTTGGTGCCAGGACTAATCGAAACGCCCTTTAGCGAAGTCCTTGTTAAAGACGAGGAAGCTAAAAGTGTGTGGAACTCCCTGGTTTGTATAAAAAGGTAAAATTTATTTGATAATCCGCAATTATTATAATAATTATAATTATTAAGAGATACCTAATTTATTCTTATACTCGATGATAATCCTTGTAAGAAAGCTCTTTGAATAGTCATTTAGTCAATCAAAATCTGCATATATTATTTTATGCATGAATTTTATTATAAAATAATGTTTGCTGGGAATTTATTTGATATTCTGCAATTATTATAATAATTATATTTATTAAGAGATACCTAATTTATTCTTATACTCGATGATAATCCTTGTAAGAAAGCTCTTTGAATAGTCATTTAGACAATCAAAATCTGCATATATTATTTTATGCATGAATTTTATTAATGTTTTGCAGGTATGGCAAGCCAGCAGATGTTGCTGGAATTACTGCCTTTCTAGCATCAGACGAGGCGAGTTTTATTTCTGGAGAGTGCATTGTCATTGCAGGTGGTTTCCCTTCATCCAGGCTTTAATTATTGCATTACAATTGAAGTTAATTAAAAAAAACATTAAATGCGTATATAATTACGTTGGTACTTTTTTTATTGCAAAATGACCTAAAAATTCCCCGAAATATTCCCAAAAAAATCAAGAGATCTTGGGTTCTTAGGAGAAAGATTTTTGACTGTCAAGCCAACTTGATGGTGAATACTCGTGCTGGTGAATCGTTTTTGGAAATCGGTTGCTAATGTTTAAAAATATTACTGCAAAAACTTAAAAAAATCTATACAGGGCTTTTCATGGTAACCATCCATTAGAAGTATCTCAATAATGAAATGACTTAAAAATCTGAAATTTTGGTTATAGTATTTTTTGGATAATTTGAATTGATCTAAAATATTTTCATTTTGATTACACTTCCGGTTATGCCGGAAGTTGACACCAACTTCGTTATTTTATATGGAAAGTGCCATTTTTTACTTCATTTTTGAATTCTATGGCCTTTTTTAACTAGACTTTAATAATAACATCATATGCCAAAAATGCACCATTTTTAAGATATTACAATTTTTTCGATATTTTTTGGAAAAACAGTCGAATGTATTTTCTATGATATCTCTATTAATAATGCAGGTAGAAGCTTGAAATTGAGTATCGATGATGTCCAGACATACTACTAAATGAAACTAAACTGTATTTTCAGAATCCATGTACAGGACGTTTAAAAATGTCTGACAAACTTCAGAATCCAATGGATCACCTTGTATTTTTTAACAGTGACCAATGCAGTTTTTTAAGCCTTTTCGATCCATATGGGTATTCCCTATACCCAAATCCAAAATTTTTTGAAATAATCGAAGTTTTATTAAATAAGGTATGAATTTTCCTTTTTTGAGTTATCTAGTTGGCCATTTGATGACCTTATGTCAATGCGACATTTATGTATTTTTGAAAAATTCTACGCTAAATTTAAGAGTACTTTTGTCTAAAACATTTTTTCAAAAAATGCATTCTTATTGAGATATGGAATCGAAATGCCTTAAAAGGTTAAAAAAGGCCATAGAATTCAAAAATGAAGTTAAAAATGGCACTTTACATATAAAATAACGAAGTTGGTGTCAACTTCCGGTATAACCGGAAGTGTAATCAAAATGAAAATATTTTAGATCAATTCATATTATCCAAAAAATACTATAACCAAAATTTCAGATTCTTTTCATTATTGAGATACTTCTAATGGACGGTTACCGTGAAAAGCCCTGTATACAACTTTTAAAACAACCTCCAAAAATTCTTGATGTTTTGTGACTCGATGAATGACGTGAAGTCTTATGTCACTTGTCATTTGCCATACGATTTTAAAGTGTACTTTAGCTGAGGCCTCAAACTCTCAAACAAATAAGAAGAAGAATTAAAGTGTGCTTTTAGCATCGCTTTTTGTCTCGTCTGTTTAGCGGCTTACCTTTTAAAAATAAAACTTGAGAAGTCTCACGATAGTTTTGCATTCCCGCATGGTAATCTCGTTTTCAAATTACATACACTCGTTTCGTGCTGCCAGTGCTGTGATAGGTGATTATTGTGAGGTTATGTAAAACACATCTAAAATTTAATTCAAATTCGACAAAATGGCTTTATGCGACGCGGAAAAAACGTTTGTTCTGCACGGCGTACAGGTAACTAAACTTTTTAATTCAATAACAGTACTATAGATTAATGAATTTATTATAAATCACTGAAACGCCCTTAGGACAATTTCCGCATAGATGGTAGAGAATTGGACGATTACAGGCCTATGGAATTGGAAACTGATGTTGTATCACACGCTTTCGGTTCGGCCCGTTTGCGATTAGCCAACACGGACGTTCTAGTAGCTGTGAAAATCGAACTAGACGTGCCATTCCCGGAGAGCCCACAAAATGGAAAAATCGAGTTTTTCGTTGATTGGTAAGTAAATAAATTAATTAATCATTACTTTACAAGTTCTTGTATCATTCCTTTATATGGGAAAACGCAAATTTGTTTGCAATGTGGGCAATTCTGCGAGTCGAACAAAGAACGAGTGAGAAAGTTGCAATCCCCCCACAATGTCACTCTTTCTTTCTCCTTTATATGAGACTAACAGACGTTGTCTTTGTCGCACTTTGTTGATGACGACAGGCGTTACCTTGGAAACTGGAAGGGTGGGAATGATGGGGGGATAATTTCTATGACTACTCGAGCTAAGAGAAATCAATAAAAGTACCAAGTCTCCGCAAGGGGGCGTGTTGCTATGGCAACCATCGAGTATTGATTTTTCGTGGCGCAGTGCCTGGATGAGCTACACATTAAAATAAGCCTTTACACTTGTTCCATTTGTGCTGGTGAGTCTTGCAACACTAAATGTAATATCTGCAGTTTTTATCCAAATTTGATGAATACTTGCTTCTTAGAAAAGGTAACTGTAGCAGATTTAAGCATTATATTAATAATTATTATTATTTAGCGTTTAATGCATTTTTCGGAGTGCGTTGTCTCCAACTGAACGAGATTTTCTAAATTTTCTTTAATTTTTATCTTGAATAGTTTAAAAGAAGAGCTTGAATAGTTTAAAAATTATCCATCCTTCTTAAAGAGATCGAACTATACCCTAGTTGGAATAGTTCGAATTAAAGTGAGCAATTAATAATTGTTACATATTTATTAAAAAGTATCTCCAACTTTTGTGAAGAACTTGTCTCTATATCATATACAGTAACAGATAGATTAAATATCGATTAATGATTAATCAAATATCATTAGCAGGTACCCTAAATTTTTAGTTATTCTATAATTTAAAGTGACACGAGTTCAATAAGTAAAATTCGCATAGTTCGTAGATGATGACGTCATAGAGGTAACTAGATTAAATTAAAATTATAATAATTTTTAAAGTTTAATTTAAAAATTACCAAATATTTCGGGTAGTTAATGATCGTTAATTAATCGATATTACATTTTCTACTATTATTTAGCAAAAAAAGTTCGACGACGTCATTGGTAATTAGATCAAAATGAAATTATAACATCAAAAACTGGACATTTTTTAATAAAACTGAAAATATCTCAGAAACGGTGACAGTTAGGTATAGGGAAATGTTATGAAAAAAGATTCAGTAAGAAATAGACTTCCCATTGGATATTATTAATATAGGGTGTTCCATTTAAATTAAGCGAGTAATTATGTTTGCGTTTTGACTCACCCTGTATACAAATTGCAATTTTGTCATAATATACCTAATGTTTGTGAAAATAGACCATTTTCAAAAAATGCTGACACAGAAAAATTCACATTATCTGATACAGATTCTGATATACAAGGTCTTGAAATCATGTCGATTTGAACATAAAAATGGCCATAACTTTTTAAATACTCAGTATAGTCATATGAAATCTTATATTGAGAAACTCGTGAATACGAGCCGAAATCGAATATGAAATAAAAAATATATCATTGCCTTTAAAAAAAGGTATGTTTGGTATGGCTTCGATTTATGGGCCACCCTGTATATTTCGAAATAATTTTAAATTATGCGCCTAAAGGTGCTTAACATTTTTCCTATTTATCATTTTTTCGTATCTATTATAATAACTGAGTAAATGGGCTTTACCGCACTATTGGGACACCCTGCATATTGAGCTTTTCCGTACTAATATACCACCCAGTATATTTCTTTATCTTGTAATTTTATTCATTGTTTCAGTTCTGCTAATGCCACGCCGGAATTCGAAGGCAGAGGAGGCGAAGATTTGGCAATAGCGATTTCCAATACTCTCACCACCGCCTATTCTTCTTCGTTGGCTTTCGATTCGAGGAAATTGTGCTTGCTTAACGGAAAGAAATGTTGGAAATTGTACGTCGATATATTGGTAAGTTTCTAATACTCGAGTACTGTTCGAATGAGAATGTTTGAGGACATCTCACTGACTAATACATGACACATACAGGGTGGCACATTAGTATGGAAAAGTTCAATATATCTGTTATTGTAGAAGATATCTAAAAAACGTCATTACAAAAGTTGTAGATCTTTTTAAGCTGCATATTTTAAAATTAGTTACATTCATACAGAGTGTCCCGTTTTTCCGTAATAGATCAAACTTATACTTTTTTAAATGGAACACCCTGTTTTTTATTTAAAAATTGAATTAAGTTCGTTTTCAGCTTTCCAAAAATATCATTTTGTATAACGTTATACTGAGTGGTTTAAAAGTTATGACCACTTTTCCACGAAAATCGTACTAAGTTTACCACTCTGTAGAAACTAAATGGATTGAATTGAAAATAAATTTCAGGTTTTACAACATTGCAAATATCCTGAAAATGTACATAATGAATATTTTTTGTCAATTTTAATCATACTGCTTACATGGTGGATCCAAACGCAAAAGTAACATTTTCTCTGTTAATTTAAATGGATCACCCTATATTTTATATCGTTAACAGGAAGTTTTTTTGTAAAGATACCTAAAGTTAACACTTTTCGAGATATTTCAATTAAAAAAAATTAGAACTTAAAATTAAAGAACAAAAAATTAATATATAAATATGTATAAATTAATTAAATTAATTGAAATATCTCGAAAAGTGTTAACTTTAGGTATAGGGAATGGTTATTAAGAATGAAAGTACTTCAAAAAAACTTCCTGTTAACGATATAAAATATAGGGTGATCTATTTAAATTAACAGAGAAAATGTTACTTTTGCGTTTGGATCCACCCTGTAAGCAGTATGATTAAAATTGACAAAAAATATTCATTTTATACATTTTCAGGATATTTGCAATGTTGTCAAACGTGAAATTTATTTCAATTCAATCCATTTAATTTCTACAGAGTGGTAAACTTAGTACGATTTTCGTGGAAAAGTGGTCATAACTTTTAAACCACTCAGTATAACGTTATACAAAATGATATTTTTGGAAAGCTGAAAACGAACTTAATTCAATTTTTAAATAAAAAACAGGGTGTTTCATTTAAAAAAGTATAAGTTTGATCCATTACGGAAAAACGGGACACTCTGTATAAACGTAACTAATTTTAAAATATGCAGCTTAAAAAGATCTACAACTTTTGTAATGAAGTTTTTTCGATATCTTCTACAATAACAGATATATTGAGCTTTTCCATACTAATATGCCACCCTGTATGAGGTGTATTGTAATGGAGTCACTGTAGATATCATTTGAACATGTTTGTCAACGATTCTTTTAACTAAATTATGCTTATTGTAGATTTTAGAATGCGGCGGGAATTTATTCGACGCCGTTTCTATAGCTGTTAAAGCTGCTTTGTGGAACACAAGAATCCCGTTTGTGAAAAATGTAAATATCGATGGTAATAACATCGATCTAGATGTAAGCGATGATTTGTGTTTGTGCGAACGATTGGACATCGAAAACGCCCCTGTTATGGTAATTATTCAGTTAAACGTTAAAGTCATAGACCTATTAACTATGGACGCGGTGTAGACAAAGAGGTAGTGTTGTCGATGAATGAGAGAGATGCAGCTAGTTTGGGCATATGGCAATGAGAGATTGGACAATGCATTAGCCAATAGTAAGAAAGCAAAAGACCACGTGAGTTACGTTTTCAGAAATGCAAGGTATCTGGGGTAGAGGAGGGTAGCTTATGGTAGAATATGGTTGAGGATTTATTATTTTTTTACCGAGCAAAATGCATTTTTCAGCTGAGCCTAAATTCCCACGCATTTGCAAATACAGTTCTTATTTTGTATTGTTATTTGGAACCTCCTACCTATTAGCCAGTACAGATTTCGCAATTTAAGACCTAACTGCTTTCTCTTGTAAAAAATATGTTTCTTCCAGGTCATTCTTCTGTCCAAGTGGATACCAAGATAAAAACAATATTTAAATATTAAGCGTATAAATAATTTAACAGATTAGTCACCTTTTTCCACACACCCTGTATATACAGTGTGTCCACGGATGGGGTTGCCTATAGAAGAAAAATTTTTATTATTCATTTTACGACAAAAAGTCATTGTTTATAAGAATTTTTGCTTCTTTTAAAAATGAGAATAACACTGAAAAATCTTAGATTGGATCTACAGGGTGTTGTCAAATTAAGAAAACATGAAAATACCTCAAGAGAGAAGTACCATTATTTTTTATTTTACACAAATTTTTTATAAAAGAAAGTTGTTTATAATCTAAAATAAAGCCTGAATTCAAATTTTCAAATTAAAATTCCAATTTTGTGTGTCCACGGATGGAGTTGACCAGAGGAGAAAATTATTATTAACTTTACGAAAAAAAAGTAATTCTTCATAAAAAAAGAGCATTAAAAGAGAGATTAAAAGCATTTTTTGTAAATAATAATGTAAGATAATAAATAAATTCTTTCTTTATGTAAGATAATAAAAATTCTTTCGTTCTTTCTTGACTTTTTTTCTTGTTTCTTAATTTACTAACACCATATACGTCTTATTTAATATTTTGATATGTGAATTTCATTTTCTCGACAAGTTAATTTTTTTATAAAGAATGGCTTTTCGTCGTAAAATTAATAATAACCATTTTTCTTATCTGGTCAACTTTATCTAGGGACACACAAAATTTGAATTTAAGTTTGCAAATTTGTATTCAGGTTTTGTTTTAGATTATAAACAACTTTCTTTCATAAAAATTTTGTGTAAAATAAAAAATAATGGTACTTCCCTCTTGAGGTATTTTCATGTTTTCTTAATTTGACAACACCCTGTAGATCCAATCTAAGATTTTTCAGTGTTATTCTCATTTTTAAAAGAAGCAAAAAATTTTATAAACAACGACTTTTTGTCGTAAAATGAATAATAAAAATTTTTCTCTTATAGGCAACCCCATACGTGGACACACTGTATTTTATATTGTTTTTGGTCCCGCCTACTTTTAGCCCAAACTAGCTCCATCTCTCACGGACCTCTCTCTCTATCATTGGGAACGCTGAATAACCTCAAAATACTGGGAGTGCCGCGTCCATACTTAATAGGTCTATGGCATAGACCAAAAAAAATATAAAATATATACAGGGTGTGTGGAAAAAGGTGATTAATCTGTTAAATTATTTATACGCTTAATATTTAAATATTGTTTTTATCTTGGTATCCACTTGGACAGAAGAATGACCTGGAAGAAACATATTTTTTGCAAGAGAAAGCAGTTAGGTCTTAAATTGCGAAATCTGTACTGGCTAATAGGTAGGAGGTTCCAATTAACAATACAAAATAAGAACTGTATTTGCAAATGCGTGGGAATTTAGGCTCAGCTGAAAAATGAATTTTGCTCGGTAAAAAAATAATAAATCCTCAACCCTATTCTACCATAAGCTACCCTCCTCTACCCCAGCTACCTTGCATTTCTGAAAACGTAACTCACGTGGTCTTTTGCTTTCTTACTATTGGCTAATGCATTGTCCAATCTCTCATTGCCATATGCCCAAACTAGCTGCATCTCTCTCATTCATCGACAACACTACCTCTTTGTCTAAACCGCGTCCATAGTTAATAGGTCTATGGTTAAACGTTAAAGGCTTTGTAAAATCGTAAAATTTTCACAGGTAACAGTTTGTAAAATAGGCGATAAGTGCATTGTTGATCCGAACGCTGCGGAGGAACATTGTTCGATGGGTTCGGTCGTTGTGGCTGTTTCCGGTACAAAAATCAGTACCATCTATCAAACGGGTACCGGTTCCTTGCATCCTGCCACTCTTACGGAAAGTCTGCAATTGGGATTTCGTGTTGCGATTAGATTAAACGAGGCTTTATCGAAGGTTTTGTCTCGAATTCGGCCCGACGAGGAAGCCGGTTTTCTCAAATAATATACGTTTTTTTTTTTGTTTTGTACATACACTGTGTTATTTATAAGATGCGACATATAGGGATTCCTGTGCAAATGTGTCAAAAGCAAGCTAACTTTTTTACCAAATAACGTTCGTAAAAAATAATGACAGATTTGAAAAGATCGTCGAAAAATAAGTCGAAATGGATATTAAATTTTATTAAATTCGTTCTGGTTTAATTAAAAAATGTAATTAAGTTGAAAAAAGTCAAACGTCATAAATGTGTCATTTTTATGTCACTATCTAATAATTGTAAAATTGGCGGAGTTAACCGGGATGGTTTACGCTCTGAAATTTATAAATTTTAGCGGGAAGTAATGTGGTTCAATCCCCGCGAAGTGAAGACATTTTTTCTTTTTTTTTTTGTTTTTTTTTTCTAATATTTTTGTCTAAAAAATGTTAAATAGAAATATTTAAAATAAGACGAGCTTATTTGAGATATAATTTTATTTTTATTTAAATAAAAGCTCCGACAATTAAGTGTCAATTTTAATAACGCAAAATCTCGTTAGTAGGTAGAGCCTTTAAAATGATGCCATATTTTTATTCTTGACAAAAAAAAACATTAAAAAAACAAAAAATGCCAAAGAAAAAAGAAAAAAAATTTCAGCACTGCGTGGGATTGAACCAGATTCCTTACCGCTGATTTTTTCAAACTTCAGAGCGTAAACCATTCCAGATATCTCCGCCCCTTTTAACAATTATTAGATAGTGACATATGACGTATGACTTTTTTCAACTTAATTATACATTTTTTTATTAAACCAGAACGAATTTAAGAAAATTTAACGTCCATTTCGACTTATTTTTTGACGATCTTTTCAAATCTGTTATTATTTTTTACGAACGTTATTTGGTAAAAAAGTTACCTTGCTTTTGACACATTTGTACAGGAATCCCTATGTCGCATCTTATAAATAACACAGTGTATTTGCTTATCGAACTTGAGTGCATATGATTCAAGATAACTGATAAGATATTAGAATTAAATTTTTCTGTTAATGTTCAGTTTAATGGTATTTATTTTATCGGATTTATTTTTATAAAACAGCTATGGAGTTAAAGGCGATTTATTTGTGTTTATTTTTACTGTATGTTCGAAAGGTTTCTAGTAAGTAAAATTTCTTCGTAGCTTCTTTAGCAAGTTAATATTAATTGGTTTTTTTTTGTTAGGTTTAAAATGTTATACTTGCTCTTGTACAGAAGATGATTCGGATACTACTTGTTTGACCGGTCCTGGTAAAAAGTCGGGTATGGTAACAGATTGCGATAAAAAGTACTGTTACACAGTTAGAGTCGATTATAAGGTACGTTTTATTGTATATAAAATAAGCTGCATAAGTATCGCACGTTCATGTTATCATTATGAGTCATATTGCAATGATAGGTAAAACAAAACTTCACCTGTATATGCTATATTAACTAGGTAGTACATAAACTACTGGACAAAATTAACGCAACATCATAAATTTGCCACATTTTTTATGCTATTTTTTGTTTGAATTTATGATCCGATTTGGATGATTTTTTTTTTGTATTATAGGTTGGTTCCTTGACAATGTCATCATTTTCGCTGTTTATGATAAAATGTTCCTTCTCGATTATACCGGTTGTAATAAAAATGTAATGTTTTTTTTCCGAAAATTCGTATCACTCTGTGGAGTATACTAACAAACGAGACATATAGCAGTTGAAATTAGACGGTAGATCCATCTTTTGTCAACATTTTCTTTTTTGATTTAATTCATTATCTCTGTTATTAAAGGAGATACGCCATTTTATAGCGTAACATGTTTTAATGGACTGTATTATTCAAAACATTCATTGTTAAATGTTTTCAAGTAGGCTATGGGCCATTTTTGACATTTCAAGTGATGTGTCAATATCGAAGACATTATTTGTTATTTGTATAACAAAATAATTCCTGCTCGCTTTGATGAATGAAAACAAAATTAACGAATTACTTTATTTCATAAAGTAAAATTAAGAGTTTATCAAACACATTTTTTGGAAACGAGTAAAACAAGGAAAGAACATAAATCAAAAACAATAAAATTAATGAATTTATAATGCTAATAACGTGTATGTCCACATCTAATTCGAATCAATGCTCCATTGCAATATGACTCATTGAATAGCCTTCATCCACCAAAGTTAAGGCTTTTACTGCTTCTTCGGTCGATAAATTTTTTGGACGATTCATTTTTCAAGATTAAAATAACAAAAAATGTATTCGATATTGACACATCGCTTGAAATGTCAAAAATGGCCCATAGCCTACTTGAAAACATTTAACAATGGATGTTTTGAATAATAAAGTCTATTAAAACATGTTACGCTATAAAATGGCGTATCTCCTTAATTAACAGAGATAATGAAGTAAACCAAAAAATAAAATGTTGGCAAAAGATGGATCTACCGACTAATTTTAACTGCTCTATGTCTCGTTTGTTAGTATACTCCACAGAGTGATACGAATTTTCGGAAAAAAACATTACATTTTTATTACACCCGGTATAATCGAGAAGGAACATTTTATCATAAACAGCGAAAATGATGACATTGTCAAGGAACCAACCTATAATACAAAAAAAAAATCATCCAAATCGGATCATAAATTCAAACAAAAAATAGCATCAAAAATGTGGCAAATTTATAATGTTGCGTTAATTTTGTCCAGTAGTTTATTTCAATTCTTCATGTAGAACAGAATAACCCTTATAAATTTAGGCAGAAAAAGTGAAACCAAGTATGGGTAAGATAAATTTTCTAAGGGTTGATGCTATTAGGTACTGTTAGTAGTTCACATTTCGTGTTCTTTGCTCATTGTATTATTTTTAAAGTCTCCAGATCTCTGTATATTTCACCATATTTTTTGTCTCCTGTAGTTCTTGTTCAATCATACAGGGGAGAAAAAATACGAGTATAACATACAGGGTACTCCACGTTCATCAGCGCGAGATTATTGTGGGTAATTGGTAAGTAATTAGTAATAATTAATTGAGTAGAAATTTGCAGACTTAGGGTGTATGTAATACAGGGGCCTGTTTCATATAACTGACAAGTTGACAAGTTACAAGTGTTGGTTGACAAGTATTTAAAAATTTCGTTTCATAAAATAAATTTCGACACTTGTCGAATTCAATTTTTGGCATCTGTTTTTCTACAACTGTAATATTAATTAAACGTCAGACTTAAGCCAAAAAGAAAAAAATTGTACTTGCTATACTGAGGAGCATAAGCATAGCACAACCTTCGTTTTTTGATATTGGGAAACTTTTACTTTGAAATTGTTTTTTTTTCTGGTTGGAGCTATTTTTAGATGTGAACCACGACAATTTCGTTTATTGACAAAAAACTTATTTCTAAAATGCAGCAACATTTATTTAATATTCAATTATTTTAATAAAGAAAGGGCATTCTATTTGGAAAATTTAGTCCCACTTCTACAAAAGCTATAAAATGTGAGCATTGAAACGAACAAAGACAATGCATAATTTCTATACGTTGGTTCTATACATTAGGCGGGGACAAATAGATTTTATTATTTCCTCCATTTTTATCGAATTCATTCGAAATCTTTTATTAAACTCTCATTAAGCTTCCTCCTCATTGTCGCTAGACCACATTTTCTTTTAAATTTACAAGAAAATCGGATGGTGACAGGAAATCAAATCCCTGTCGCTTTACACTAATATATGATAGGAATAAATGACAAGTGTTGTTTAATTTATTTTTTATGAAACGCAAACCTATCTACAATTGTAAAACAGACTTGTAATATTAGGCTAGTCACTTGTCACTAATAATCTACTCGTGTAATTTTATGAAACACAAACTTGTCAAATACCCCAGTCAAATTTAAACTACACTTGTTCGACAGGACTTGTCAGTTACCTGAAACAGGTTGTATCAATGTCATTTTCTCTCATTAAAGCTTACTGTTTGGATCATTGGTCACCCAGTATAATAATTACAGTTGTCCAGGAGGTGATTTAAAGTAATTGCAGGATCCCAGAGGTAAACTTCAATCGCTTTTGAGGACCTGCCTTGATAAACCGGATTATATGCACGAGGTGATCGAAGACGAAACGCACAGGAGTTATTACATGGCGTGTAAAAGCGATTTGTGCAATAACGGGAACGGTAGAACGGACGGTAGTGATCAGGAAAATGGGGCTTTCGGCGACAAATCCACCATTTATTGTCCTGGTATCGGTTCCAACAGAAGTTCGGTTATTAATGTAAATATGTTTATGTATGTTGTTATTTACTTGGCGTATTGTTGTCTGTAGGTGTAATTAAATTAGAAAATAAATTTTTGGTTATTAAGCAAAGTTTAATAATTGATCTGTCTAAACCCATTTAGAACGTTTTAAATTCATTTAGAATGCTCCAGAATCATTAGCAATATTTTAAAATCATTTAGAACACTTCAGAATTCTTTAGAATTGTCTAAACCCATTAAGACCGTTTTCGAGCCATTTGGAATGCTCCAAAATCATTTACAATATTTTACAATCATTTAGAACTGTTTAAAATTATATAGAATACTTCAGAATTCTTTAAAACTGTCTAAACCCATTTAGAACGTTTTAAATTCATTTAGAATGCTCCAGAATCATTAGCAAAATTTCAGAATCATTTAGAACTATTTACAATTATTTAAAACACTTCAGAATTCTTTAAAACTGTCTAAACCCATTTAGAGCGTTTTAGAATCATTTAGAATGCTCCAGAATCATTAGCAAAATTTCAGAATCATTTAGAACTATTTACAATTATTTAAAACACTTCAGAATTCTTTAAAACTGTCTAAACCCATTTAGAGCGTTTTAGAATCATTTAGAATGATCCAGAATCATTAACAATATTTTAGAATTGTTGAAAATTATATAGAATACTTCAGAATTCTTTAAAACTGTCTAAACCCATTTAGAGCGTTTTAGAATCATTTAGAATGCTCCAGAATCATTAGCAAAATTTCAGAATCATTTAGAACTATTTAAAATTATTTAAAACACTTCAGAATTCTTTAAAACTGTCTAAACCCATTTAGAGCGTTTTAGAATCATTTAGAATGCTCCAGAATCATTAGCAAAATTTCAGAATCATTTAGAACTATTTACAATTATTTAAAAGACTTCAGAATTCTTTAAAACTGTCTAAACCCATTTAGAGCGTTTTAGAATCATTTAGAATGCTCCAGAATCATTAACAATATTTTAGAACTGTTTAAAATTCTTAAGAACACTTCAGAATTCTTTAGAACTGTCTAAACCCATTTAGAATGAATTCATTTTAAATTCATTCTCTCGTTACTAAAAATGGAAAGTAAAAAAAATAAAATCGCTGATAGGTATAAATAAGTTTATTTACATTTTTACAACATAACAACAATAATTAATAATCGCGTATACAATGAAAAAATATAACAAATTGTCAGTCAATATACAAGTAGTAACCATTTAATGAATTATTCAGTTGAAAATTTTGTACAATGTTCGAACTGGGATGCTTCAAATGTCAACTTTTCGATATTAGAATTTTCAATCAATTATAGTCACCCGCTAGATAATTAAGTGCCAAAGTTATCTAAAATCGCCCCTATTTGTTATAACCTATAGGTTACTGAATTATCCTATCTTTATACGATAGAATAACCAATTCAATCGATAACCTAGAGGTTACAACAACTTACAATACTGCTCCTTAGGGGTGATTAACGAGTTATGTGACTATACATGGAAACATGGCACACTATAATGAACGTTAAGTTGATCATGCATTACAAAAAAACAGTATTTCATAGAAGAATAATGTTTTCCTATGCATTATACTTATGCAAAATGTGTTACAATGAAATTTTTATCTTAAGTAGTTATGACAAATGAGAATATATTTGTGTGAATTTGGTGATATCTCCTAAAATCTAATAATTTTTTCAATCTGGCAACATTGATTCAACAATATCTAAAAATATTCAACAAGATTATTTTCTTTAAAATGTAGATTTTGGATTACTTAAACAACTAGGTAGGTATGCTCATAAGATTAATGGTGGTGATGGTCTGGAGTGGGAAACCATTCATTAATAACTACAGGTTTCCAGATAACTTTCCAGTCTGGTAGCCAGATGTCCTTCCAAGCAGGCACCCAGATTTTCTTCCAAGCCTCCTTCCATTCCAGCTTCTTGTCCGGTAACCAAATTTGCTTTTGTTCGATTCTCCAAATTTGCTTCCAGGCGGGTTTCCATTCCAGTTTTTTATCGGTCACCCAAATTTGCTTCTTTTCCGTTCTCCAGATTTGTTTCCACGCCGGTTTCCAAGCCAATTTTTTGTCGGTTACCCAAATTTGCTTTTTGGCCGGTTTCCAGATTTGCTTCCAAGCTTCCTTCCATTCCAACTTCTTATCGGTAACCCAAACTTGCTTTTTCGCTGGTTTCCAGTATTTCTTCCAAATCGGTTTCCAGATCATCTTCTTTTTCCACAAATCGTGCGCTATTACTTCCGCTCCTTCCGCATCTTTGCCTAAGTAATGTTTACCATGGATAGCTTCCTTTGTCCATATGGGAATCCAGGCTTGCTTCCAGGCGGGCACTTGGATTTCCTTCCAAGCCGGCACCTGGATTTCTTTCCACACTGGTTTCCAGATCTTCTTCCAATCGGGTACTTGAATCTCCTTCCAAGCCGGTATTTGCACCGGTTTCCAGACTGGTTTCCAAATCTGCTTCCAATCTGCTACTTGTATATCTTTCCAGGCCGGCACCTGAATGGGTTTCCACACAGGCTTCCAGATTTTCTTCCAATCAGGCACTTTGATCTCCTTCCAGCCGGGTTTTTGGGTGGGCACCCAAATCGGTTTCCAGATTTTCTTCCACTTGGGCACCCAGATTTGCTTCTGGCCCTTCTTCCATACTTTCTTCCAGTCCTTTTTCCAGATCACCTTTTTCTTCCAGTAGCCCGGATCGTGGTGCTCATGGTGCTCGTGATGGTCGTGATGTTCTTCGTATCCGTGACTCTCCTGAACACCCTGTGTATCATAGGCACCCAAATTTGGAGCGTAGGGTACTTGCTCATCGTAACCTCCACCAGATGGAGGAGGTTCCGCGAAGGTACCGTAATCGATTCGTTTGTTGGCAAGACTGGAAAAAAATGAAAATTTTAGAAATCTTGGTGCAAGTTTGGTTGCGATTCTATGAGTTGGAGAAAGAAAGATTATTGATATAACAGTGGTTAGAATGAGAAAGTTGCGATCCCACAATATCGCTATTTCTTTTTCCTTTATACAGTGTGTCCACGGATGGGGTTGCCTATAGAAGAAAAATTTTTATTCATTTTACGACAAAAAGTCATTGTCTATAGAAATTTTTGCTTCTTTTAAAAATGAGAATAACACTGAGAAACACTGAGAAAACACCTAACACTGAGAAAATACCTCAAGAGGGAAGTACCATTATTTTTTATTTTACACAAAATTGTAATAAAGAGTTGTTTATAATCTAAAATAAAGCCTGGACACAAATTTTCAAATTAAAATTCCAATTTTGTGTGTCCAAAAAAAAGTAATTCTTTATAAAAAAAGAGCATTAAAAAAGAGATTAAAAGCATTTTTTTGTAAATAATAATGTAAGATAATAAATAAATTCTTTCTTTATGTAAGATAATAAAAATTCTTTCGTTCTTTCTTGACATTTTTTCCTGTTTCTTAATTTACTAACACCCTATACGTCTTATTTAATATTTTGATATGTGAATCTCATTTTCTCGACAAGTTAATTTTTTTATAAAGAATGGCTTTTCGTCGTAAAATTAATAATAACCATTTTTCTTATCTGGTCAACTTTATCTAGGGACACACAAAATTTGAATTTAAGTTTGCAAATTTGTATTCAGGCTTTGTTTTAGATTATAAACAACTTTCTTTCATAAAAATTTTGTGTAAAATAAAAAATAATGATACTTCTCTCTTGAGGTATTTTCATGTTTTCTTAATTTGACAACACCCTGTAGATCCAATCTAAGATTTTTCAGTGTTATTCTCATTTTTAAAAGAAGCAAAAATTTTTATAAACAATGACTTTTTGTCGTAAAATGAATAATAAAAATTTTTCTCCTATAGGCAACCCCATCCGTGGACACACTGTATATGAGAGATGGAAGTTGTCTTTGTTGCACCTTAATATTTTAGTACTCACTTATTTATATCTACATGATTTGATTCCGTCGGTTTTCCATCAGTAGCGCAAAGAAATGCCAACACAGTAACCTGAAATTCAACAAAAAATTAATTATTCAAGATATTTCATTGTACACCGTATCTTTTGTTTTGAGTAGTTGGTAATGTATGTCAAAAAAATTTAATTGGCAACACTGATATGCATTTAGAAGTGTCGCATCAAATTTGAAATTTCGTAATATTCTTACTACACGAGAAATTATTACATATTTTAATAAAAACAATAATCACTGTAGTTATTCAGGCACCGTTAAAGAAACTTTCGTTCGCGTGATTTCGACCGTTAAAAACTCAAAATTAAACACTCAGATCGTCGAATTTCAAACGCAATTAAATACAATTGAATTCTTAACCACGTAAAATCGCCCATAATTCTTCGAAAGAAAATTCAGCTGCTTCTCCAATGAAATTAATAAAAAAAAACTATTGTCTACGATACCAACTGATAATATCAAAAGTCACTAGAATCAATGTAGCGCTTTTAAACAAATGGCGCCTACTATAAAAAAATTTGAACTTCGAACTTATACGAGTACAATTGAATTCCTAACCGGTGAAATTATCCAAACTTCTTTCAATGAAAATTCAACTGCTTTTCTAATGTAATTAAATTTAAAAATAAATTTCTATTAACCGCATCAGTATTGCCATTGATACCAACTAATAATAACAAAAGTCACTAGAGTGAATAAGTGCGCCTACTAGAGTGAACAAATGCGCCTACTATGAGTAAGATTAAATTTTGAAAAACTCGATTGTCAATCGATAATTATTAAATGTTCCGATTGAAATGGGATCGACCGTTGGGTAACTGCATGCGTGGGCATTTAAACCGATTTTCGTAATACGAATAAATTACAAAAATCGTTTAAAAATTCAAATTAGATATATAGAAATCGGGTTCGTGTTTATTATAGGAAGCAATTAGGATTAACAAAACTATTTTATTGTATCATAACGGGCGCATTTCTAATAGATAGAAAATAACAATAACATAAAATATTCAGTTTCACTAACACGTATAATTCATAATTAATTAATTTTCGTTTTTATGTACCTATAAATTTCCGTGATTTCTATATTTTTAACTGACG